TAGACCTTATTCCGACTAAGCTACTGAAAGAGATGCTTCCAGATGTCATAGATCCTCTTCTTCTTAATTCGTCTTTGTCTCTAGGATACGTACCAAAAACCTTTAAGCTGGCTATGATAAAACTGCTTGAAAAAACCACAACTTGATCATACAAAATTTGTCAATTACAGGCCGATCTCGAATCTGCCTTTTCTGTCAAAGATACTGGAAAATGTAATATCCTCACAACTGTGTTCCTTTCTTGAAAGAAATGATATCTGCGAGGATTCTCAGTCCGGATTTACACCGTACCATAGTACCGAGACAGCTCTCATCAGAGTCACAAATGATTTGCTCTTATCATCCGATCGTGGTTGTATCTCTCTATTAGTGTTACTTGATCTTAGTGCTGCATTTGACACAATTGACCACAACATTCTTTTAAATAGACTAGAAAACCATGTTGGCATTAGTGGTATTGCATTAGCATTAGACCGTTATCAGTTTGTAGCAGTAAATGAAGAGATGTCTTATCAATCACAAGTTCAGTATGGCGTACCACAAGGCTCAGTACTAGGACCGCTGCTGTTCACTCTGTACATGCTACCATTAGGAGATATCATTAGGAAACATGGAATTAGCTTTCACTGTTATGCCGATGATACTCAGCTGTATATTTCTTCAAAACCTAACGAAACTCACCAATTCACAAGATTAACGGAATGCATAGCTGATATAAAAAATTGGATGACTAGTAATTCTCTACTAGGGATGGGAATTGATAAGATTTTATCAATATCAATGCTACTAATGATTCTGCTTATCGATCCGATTCTTTAACGATTCTCTTATCGATTCCTGATAGCACTGTGTGGAAAAAAGTAGTCATGCTTTTTCGGGGGGGGGGGGGGGGAAACAAGTGGTTTTATTTGTTTTAAAGCTTACACTTGAGTAAGCAAACTGTACTTTTTATGTAATTTATGTAATAAATGAAACCTTATTGTAAAGTGTTACCGATTAGTTACACACCAATTAAACGTACCGTGATTTCGGTGTTGGAAAGATCAGTTGTTTTAACCATTCATTAAAACGAATCGGTTCAAATGAGTCATTAGTTCGCGAATTGGACGTGTCATTATCGGATGTGTGCCGGCGGTTGGGACATCCCACAAGATGTGTCATCACAGAAAACATTTCATCACTGGATAGTTTTTTTCGTTTATTTAAAGTGTGGTTTATGTCAGCTGAATGTGCGGAACGCTTTTAAGAGAAGATAAGGCAACGTATTTTTGCACAATTCACACCCAGCGGTAGCCTAATTCAGGAAAAACAAATCTCCGAATGCTCCACATGAAACTTTAGTCTCCCGACCTTACCATCGTGTTGTTTATTTTGATTAATATGTGCGGGGCTCTCTCTCTCTCTCTGCTCGTTCAGTTAAACATGCGTCCTGTCACAAGCGCAGCAGTTCATCTACATTACGATCAAATAAGACTTTGGCGGTACAAAAATTTGCTTTGGACCGGACGCCGTGCTATGGTGCTTGATAAAGGACAAAAGGGACATTTGTGAGTTCACGGTCTGTAGCCTACATACTATGGCTGACTCCGAGAAGGAGCATCGATAAGAGGACTCGTTAACGTCGAGGGCATACAATATCGATGGATCGTAAAACTTAGAACCGGTTCTCGAGTGGAACCGGTTTTCAATTCCCATCCCTATTCCCTATCCCTACCATTAAATTCTGAAAAAACAGAGATTCTAATTATTGGACAAAAAACTTCCACACGTAATAACCTAGAACACTGTCTAACACTTGATGGCTGCTCTGTTAAGTCTTCGTCGTCGGTTAGGAACCTGAGTGTGCTCTTTGATACCAATCTTTCATTTGAAAGTCACGTTTCTAGTATCTGTAAAACCGCATTTTTCCATCTTAAAAATATATATAAATTACGCCATATGCTCTCATTGACAAATGCGGAACAATTAGTTCATGCGTTCATGACCTTAATGCTAGATTATTGTAATGCTCTACTGGGTGGTTGCCCTGCACGCTTAATAAACAAACTACAGCTAGTTCAAAACGCAGAAGCTTGAGTTCTTACCAGAACCAGGAAATATGACCATATTAGCCCGGTTCTGTCAACACTGCATTGGGTGCCTGTTAAACATCGTATAAATTTTAAAATATTGCTGATTACTTACAAAGCACTAAATGGTTTAGCTCCCCAGTACTTGAGCGAGCTCTTAACGCATTATAGTCCTTCACGCCAATTGCGTTCTCGAAATTCCGGCCAGTTGATAATACCTAGAATATCAAAATCGACTGCAGGCGGTAGATCCTTTTCCTATTTAGCACCTAAACTTTGGAACATTCTCCCTAACATTGTCTGGGAAGCAGACACACTCTGTCAGTTTAAATCTAGACTAAAAATACATCTCTTTTACATTTATTCATTTATCTGACGCTTTTATCCAAAGCGACTTACAATTGCTATATATGTCAGAGGTCGCATGCCTCTGGAGCAACTAGGGGTTAAGTGTCTTGCTCAGGGACACATTGGTGTCTCACAGTGGATTCGAACCCGGTCTCTCACACCACCAAAGGCATGTGTCTTATCCACTGCGCTATCACCACCCTGGCTACCTTGCATTCACATAGAACATTATACATTTCTATTATTCAAATCAGTTAAATGATTATTAGGCTGCATAGATTAGGTCAGCCGGAACCGGGGAGGCTTCCTACAACACCCGATGTACTCGTTACATCATAAGAAGAATGGCAACAACGCTAATGTTAGTCTTTCCATTTATTCCGAGGTTTACTGAAGTCACCCGGATCCGGGCCATATCCAGATCAGACGGCAAACCTGCGCCTGGACACGACCACAATGCATCCCTGAAGTGCCAGCCTCATCAGCCCTGTGAAGGTCTCATGGACACCTCAACAAACTCGTCTCCATACCAGCGTGATGACTCCGACCTCCAACCAGATGGAACTGGATAAATATTGTGAATGTTCTGATCCAATCTGACTTCTGACCTGTAATGTTGCCTGAATCATAATCATACACTGTTCGTTCGTTGGCCAGAGGAGAACTGGCCCCCGACTGAGCCTGGTTTCTCCCAAGGTTTTTTTCTCCATTCTGTTTCCTGATGGAGTTTTGGTTTCTTGCCACTGTTGCCTTGGATTTTGGCTTGCTTAGTTGGGGACATTTAATATTCAACAATATTATTGATCTGCCTTACTTTAGGTGGACGATGACGCAATTTTCTTCTAGAAAAAAACTTGTATTATTTTCATGTTATCACTGTGAAGCTGCTTTGATACAATCTGTATTGTAAAAAGCGCTATATAAATAAAGATGACTTGACTTGACTTGACGATTACATTTATTAATTTATAACATTTAAGACTGTTTTTGGTAAAACAAAGTAACTTGGGTTATACTTTACTAGTTTCTTGGAAAAAAATATCTGATTACGTAACTCTTGTTACTTGTAATGCGTCACACCCCAACACTGATTATGAAATATGTGCAATTTTTAGAGGACTGACTAAATATCACAAATATCAAAGTTTTACGATCATAAAAGGACAAAAAGCTATTCAATGTTAAAGGAAGGTGTAGAGCCCTGCACGGGCCTCAAATCTAGGCCCTAGCCCGGCCCTGCCCCGAGACGCTCAGGCCCTAGCCCGGCCCGTGTCCGACAGCTCATCAGAATGATCAGCCCGAGTCCGACCCGAGCCCGTAAAAAAAAAAAGAAAAAAAAAGAAAGATAAACAGCCTGACCTATGTTGCAGTCAGTAAACCAGATATATTTTGTTTTCAATAGCAAAGTATTTACCGGCAAGTTTATTTTCATTTCTTTATAAAGTTAATTAAGAAAAAACAACAAAAAAAATTATGACGACCAAGCAGCCGACAGCGAGTTAAACATGTTTGATCCATTGATTGATTTATAGCCTCTCAAATCAACACTTTACTTGGCTACAATAAAATCCATAGATATAAAACAACTTAAGCATATCACACAGACAGTTAACGTTAGTTTAAACGTTTATTGTCATTTTTGAAAAGCTGAGGCAAACTGCTCTGCTGCTCAGTCGCAACAGCGCTCGCAAACTAAATGAATTTATAATATAGGCTACAATACAGAGAATGCAATCTAAACAAATCAAATAAATTACATTAAAACAAACATGCAGGTTATCTTACCTCAAAAATCAAGTCTTCACTACAGAACATGGCCATTTCCAATAGTTTCCAACAGACTCATGAAAATAAAGTCCAATCAAACAAAAAACAACCTCCTCCTAACATGGCTAAGAACAGTCTCAGAGCATCGTGAAGAAAAAGCACAGCATCCACAGTGGAAGGTTTTAATCCAGTCGTACTTTTTCCAGCTGCGCTGAAGTCACGCTCGCTACCATAGCGGGACACTAGAACGAGCCGGTCGCGCGAATCTCAGATCGCGCTGCCGGGAAACCTGTGTGTGTGTGTGTGTGTGTGCGTGAGCGTGAGCATGAGCAAACTGTCATGTGTCAGTCATATGTCAGTGTGATAGGTTATAAAACGTCTTTCTATGTTTGCTTTTCAATCGTCATCTTCTCATGTTTTATTTTAATTAATGTCTAAAATAGGCTATAAAAAAGATAAGCCTAAAACAGGCCCGAGGCCCGGCCCGCGTGTGAACTATGACGTGAAAATTGGCCCGAAGCCCGGCCCTAGGAGCATAAATAAGTCGGGGCCCGTCGGGCTCGGGCTGAAATGCAGGCCTCTAGGAAGGTGGTTAAGTGAAAAACTTACACCCAAAAACCTACAGATTAGAGAACCGTACGTCCTTTAAATTTTTCCCAATTGAAGAGGATACAACTATGCAAGTTTGGAGCAAAAATCATGGGTCAGGTGTGATGCACTTGCAAATTATTTAACGTGTTTCAACTGTACCTCTGTTCCAACTGCACAATGCACGGTCTGCCCCTATTCTTTCAAAACCCTCTACAGAAGGCGATTGGCTCGTAGGAGCAGAGGACGTCCTTAAGTTACATCACTTCATTTTCCAGCCCTCATAAGAGAAAGGAAGGAAGAAGTTTTTACTCGCAGAAAGAAGATGAAAATGATAATATGCTGACTGAACCTAAGAATAATCTTCGGCATTGACATCCATGTTTAATGTCAAGAGAAAAGACAGATCACATCAGTGCGAAGGTGACTCAGTTTATTTGTCCTAATTCAAATTGTTTCATAAATTGGAGGAAATGTGATGCTGTCATGCTTTGTTTTTTTTAGTTTTTTGTTTTCAGAGAAATGGGATCTGATCATGGCATCATGGACCGAGTATCCTATGCTCATCCATTGATGTTTGGCTCGTCTTTGAACAACCAGTATTTCCCCTTCAAAGATGCACTGAAAAATCCCCAGAATGACCCAGAGCAAGTCAACAGTCAACGGTACATTGGAGGCTTTTCCTACCTGTCCTACCATGGGAACTTCAGTGTGCATGACCTCTCCTTGGAACCTGCATTCATCCACAGACGTAACGAGAGAGAGCGGCAGAGAGTCCGCTGTGTCAATGAGGGATATGCCAGACTCCGTGAACATTTGCCACAGGAATTTGAGGATAAGAGACTCAGCAAGGTAGAGACACTGCGGGCAGCCATAAGCTACATTAAACACCTGCAGGAACTTCTGGAGCTCAGTCTACCTTAGGGAAGGTCAGGACTGTCTTCAGAGAAGGGCAGAGGAACTCAAAGACTAGTGTGAGTGGCAGCATTGATCTGGAACACTGTATGCTTGCCATTCAATTATTCATTGTTTCGTTACTTTTAAAACACTGATGTGATGAAGCTTGAACAAATGTAATGCTTTCCAGATGATGCACTCTTTAACCAATGTCTTAGAGGTGTTTGTTTGCATACTGGTTATGATTCTGAAAATGTTCATGGTTTCCTTTCAGGAGCATGCACAGGTATGCTTAAAATGTATTTTGACTAAACAACAAGTAATCAAGGAACAAACCAATTAAAAAAGGTTGAATGGGCTCTTAAATGAAAAAAGACATTCATAAAACTATGCCTCTATAATCTCATTCTTAACTTTTTGAGATTATGAATTCCTTTGCTCAAAAACATCACAAAATGTTATAAAATGTAATTGTTAAAAGGATATTTGAACAGTTTTTAAAAAAGTTAAACACTGGTTTAAAATATGCAATGTTTGAAAAAATATATATATATATATATATTAAAAATATAAAATAAAAGTTTATAAATATTTAATGTGTTCATTTAATCATACAATTATTTTTCCTTTTGTTTTCTCCTTTCCATACTTTGTTCTAGCACAAAACGTGACGACCGTGTCATATTTTCATTAAACACAATAGACTGAAAGGCTACAACTATAAACATAATATATAAAAATGTTGGTAACACTTTACAATAAGGTTTCATTCGTTAAACTTAGGTAACTACATCAATGTGAACAAACGAAGGAACAATACTTTTATACAGCATTTATTAATCGTATTTATTCATTGTAGTTTACATTTGCAAATACATTTTTAAGATCAAAAGTTGCATCTGTTAATATTAGTTATAAACACTGTAAATTAACATGAACATTTGTATTGACTAAGAAAGGTTAAGAAAGGTTAATCAATTCAGTGAAAACATATTGTTCATTGTTAATTCATGTTAGTTAATGCATTAACTAAGTGTAACAAATGGATCTTATTGTAAGTGTTAACAAAATGTTAATAAAAAATAAGGGTCCTTAAAGAATACTTGTAATTTCACATCTGATGGAACTATATCTTTGTGTATTGTCTACACTGCTAGTCATATAATTTTTGAGAAATACTTTTTGAGCTAACCTAATGGTCTTGTAAATTAGTCAAAAGAAGCTGAAGCATTGTTCACTATAGTGTATATGGGATCTACAGCAATTGAATATTAAATCAATTTCCATTGCAACTTGAGTTGCACATATAAACAATAAATAAGACCCAGGCCAGTAAAGAGCAGTTAGATAGAAATAGCCACAATATCCAAATAACATCTTCAGCTAATGTTGTGATTGAGGCCTTCAGGTGATGCAGTCATTCTAACAAATATGGTAGTGGGATTAACATTGAATCAGCCTGTACACAATGAGGAACTGAAGTTGGGAGATGCAAAGATGCTGTCAAGATACTATTCAGGGCCAAGATTTTTTGTGTAATAATAATGTCAAATATTAGTGATAAATCAGTCAAAGGAGATTACCTGAAGTCATTATCCTTGACAATGTTGTGTTTAGAATTGAAACTAGCGATGTGAGATTTTGATCTAATTGGTCAAACTGGTCAAAGGCTGTTTACATGACACCATTTTCAACTAAAAACGGAAAACTTCACAAATTCGTGTGTTGTAGTTTAGAAGGAGACGATAACATTATCGTTTTCAAAAACTTGCACTTTGAAACCAAAATGCATAAAAACTATTCTGTTTTTAGTTGAAAACTGTGTTGTGTAAATGCCCCCAAAAGGGCAAGCTTTTGAAAAAGATACCGGTGTCTCTGTGTAAACTACAAAAAATGTTTCAAGTGACCAGCTACTGGCCTGGCATGCATAATACAGCGCTTTTAGTCGTTTTCAAAGGATCTGTCTGAACAGGGAATTTTTTGACATCATCTTCTCTTTGAGAAAAACGCAAAGAAAAATCTTTTCTGTTTTTAGTACATCATTGTCTAAATGTACCCTTAGTTTGATTCATTCAAACATTGAATTATATCACATGCTGAATAATTTTCAGGGTTTTTATTCACATCGAAATAGTAACGGGATACTTTATCAGAAAGCTCTTTATTCAGCATGCAGCTTGTGAACGACTCTGTACTGCAGGCAAATACAATTTATATCCATAACAATATACTAAATAAATAAAAATTATTTTAATGTGGGCCTGTGCCCCAGTACTTAGAAGCACTCTTAATGCTATGAGATGCTTTGGCAGGCGGTTGTTTATTTCTAGTTTTTTTTTAAATATCTTCTAGAAGAAATTGATACAATTTCAATACTGTATGGGTATGCTGTATTGTTTTTATTATGCTATGGCCAATTTAAATCTAAAGGGATAGTTCACCCAAAAATTCTAATTCTGTCATCATTTATTCACTGTCAAGTTGTTCTGAACCTGTATTAATATATTTAAACTGCTGAACACAAAAGAAGATATTCTGAAGAATGTCAGTAACCAAACAGTTGTGGGGCACCATCGACTTACATAGTATGGAAAAATACTAATATAAAAAATATAAAAAACTACTATGGAAGTCAATGGTGCCCCACAACAGTTTGGTTACAACCATTCTGTAAAATATCTTTCTTTGTTTTCAGCAGAAGAAAGAAATGCATACAGGTTCATAGCAGTTTGAGGGTTAGTCAATTAGTTAATTTCACTATTCTCTAAAAGAATGAGTCCTTCTCATTGTCAAGTAAAGTCACCTTTATTTATATAGCGCTTTTTACAATACAGATTGTTTCAAAGCAGTTTTACAGTGATAACAGGAAAATTATGCTTCAAAAGCTTGTTTATTTGTTTCATTGTGCTAAATGAGGTTAAGGGTTGATATTGCTTTCATTTAAGCATTTCATATTATTATAAATCATATTCACCATCTCTTCCCCCTATAAGTACGCACAGATTTAACACCCAATCCTTCTGTGGACAAGCCTGCCCCTCTGGATAATATGTTCTGGAATGTATTTTTTACTTTGAAAAGGAAACAGAGGAAGTATAAACCACATCAAGCCACAAAAATACCCTCTTCACCTCTGTGTATTCTTCACGCTTTAGCTAAACTACTGAGAAGTGGCGTGCATGTTCTTTTCTTGCTAATGTACCAGCAAACTCTTAACCACCGCAACTGACCGGGAATCAGTGGGAGACAGAAAACCAGCAAAGAGGAAAACCAATGAACCATGAAGGCTGGAAGAACGCTCTCTGTCAAGGTGGAATGAGAGTGTCAACAAAGCCCTTTCACAGCATCCGTGTGAATAGGAGCTGGTAATTAACAGAGGTGCTGGTACCCTGACTGTAATGGTTCAGTGGCAGGCAGCGGGAGGGAGGAAGTTCAAATACGCAACTAGCACAATAATAGCCTTCCACCAAGATCACAATCACAGAAACACCACCAAGCTAGAAACCAAATCTTCTAGCTTGCATTTTGTTTCACAAATAGAAGTGCACAAGATCTATCAGATAAAAAGTGATCCAAATGTGAACAAACTTTTGCTTTTAGTTCTTGGGTCTTTTTATTTCATGTTGATTGTGCTTAAAAATAAGTCTACTTCAAGTTAATTTTATAAAGTATACTTACGTAAAGTTAAAGGATAGTTTTAAGTATACTTTAATTAGTAAGTATACTAATATCAATGGACTAGTATTATACTTGTAAGTTTACTATTTCAGTGCTAAATTGGACTAAATTGGCCCACTTTTTAGTGTTTTTAGTGTAAAAGTATACTTTTAAGTGCAACGGTAGTAAACTTTTAGTTTACAACTACGTTTTTCATTTGTACTGCAACTACACTGTAACAAGTGAACTTTTAATAATTTACTAGTTAACTACTTGTAGCACATTTTTATAAAAGTACATTTGAAGTACTCTCAGTAAACTACTTTTTTTTTAGTTGAAGCATCTTTAGAGCCTTCATTATACTGCAAGTATACTTGTTTACTCTAAGTGAACTTTAAGTGAAGGTATTAATTTTTAAACCTAAAATTTACCTTTAACTGTACATCAAGTTTAAAGTAAAATACTTACATGTTTTTAAAGTTTGAAATTAATTCCTATGTACACGTGACTACACAAAAAATTCACATACTCAGAATTAGGAACATATCTATTTTCTTTATAAAACAAATCAAATAAGACAGTATGTAAAACTATGTGAAAAAAGTATTGAATAGGCTGCCCAATCAAAAGAGCAAACACAACTACAAGCCAAGTATTCTTAGAATAACACACATTATACTTTTAAGTATATCTTTATTTTAAAAAAAATAGTAAAAGTATAGGCCAAATATAGGCTATGTAGAGTTTTCTGTCAGTATAAGTCAAGTAAACTTAAGCAGTAGCGCAAGAAGGGGGGTGCACCTTGTCATAGCATCAGCACCCCCTGGTGGGGGACTGTGGACTAACATACAAGGGGGTAATCCATCAGCCGGAAACTGAAGTCTCCCCGGGGGCCGCCATTGGCTAACAAGCCTTCACCAGGGGCATGTTCAAGTTCAAAACGGTGCGCAACGTTTTGCTACGGTTTCCGGGTTGAACGTCATGTTTCCTGGAAACGGCGTGCACCGGTGTGCAACGGGGTTTGAGATACGTTTTCTCTTGTTTGGTGGGTGTGTCGGAACGGCAGTCCAATCAGCAGCAACATGTAAATAAAGCACACGGTATTAAAGTGAACTCGCACAATGGGTTCAAGGAAAGTAATTTACAAATGTGTTCGATGCAGCTCGGTTATACGCAACAACTGAGGATATAAGAAGACATGTTTGTCGTAAGTTTTATTGTAAAAATATAGGATATCAACATGATGTACAGTAGTTGTTTATATTTTTAGTTTCATTGCAAGTGTATGGCATTTGGTATAGAAATAAACAATGGTAATTACGTGCTTTTCCTAAAGATGAGAAAGAAAATACAGGGTATTAAAACAGTATGAACTACAAATAAAGTCAGTATGTGAGGCTAAATAGATGTGTTTTAGTCTGAATTAGGTAAGATGTGTGCTTCCATTTCAGTTTCCACAAATCCCTTCACTCAATTGGGATGTTCTCTTGTGTTCTGGGTGGCAAGTGCAGTAACTGTAACATCGGGCATATTTTGTAGTATTAAACACATATTTATACCGACTTCATCAGGCTCCGAAAATTCTTCATAAAGAACACAAAGAATGGCCTTCTCAGCTGCCACAGTTGCAACTCTTGCGTCATCCTAACATACTGTGTTTGATATGGGATTACTGTAAAATGATGGGCAGTGTATAAGATATAAACTAATGATTAATTATTTTAATATTTCGTTGATAAAAGACTAGCCTACTCCTCAGGAAGTGCTTCCGTCACCTCATACTCGTTTGGTCATGGCTAGCAATAAG